CCCGCCCCCGCCCCCGATTTTATCAATCGGGGAAAACCCAAACCCAAACCCAAACCCGATAAGCACGAGTTTACCCCATCCAAATCGGGGCGGGTTCGGGCGGGTACCCACGGGGGCGGATTAGATTGCCATGCCTACACATATCTATATGACATGCATCAAAGAATGCAATCATTCTTTACTTCCAGTAGTCATATTTCTCTCCTTTGAAGAGAGGTGGTTGGTTTACGGCTTGTCCTTCGTTTTCCATGATCGTTTCCCTTGTAGTGTTAGATGCTCAACCCAAGGGGTCAAGCTCTGATACCAATTGAGGTTAACGGATATACACATAGAAGGGGGGGTTGAATGTGTGTGTTAGGATTCAAAGGAAAGTTTTAAAATTATTTTCACAAGCGTACTTTTGATTGGAAAACTTAAGCAGAATTTTCATCTGGTGATTTTTGTTGATCCAAACTAATTTTCAACGTAGAAAACTAAGTAGATTAGATTTCCGTCTGAAAAATGTTTATCATCTAGTAAAGATAGTTTTTACAAGGTCAAGTAAGTTTTCGTCCAAAGCTTTGTTGAAAAACGAAATAGATCAAGAGCAAAACATGTAATACTGAAATGTAGAGAATACACAAATAGTTATACTGGTTCACTCAATCTGAGCTACGTCCAGTTTCCTTCTGCAGAAGGGTTCCATTAATCACAAAGGATTACAAGTATTCTTATCCACTTCTGGCTCGTCAACTAGACGCTAGTATTCTTACCCACTTCTGGTTCACCAAGTACTTTCGACCACTCCTGGCCCGTCAGCTTCACTCACCAACGCTAGTATTCTCAACCCCTTCTGGTTCACAAGTATTCTTTCTATCAGCCTCTTCAGGCTTTACAGCAGTTGTAGGTTTTGAGTGTGTGTATAACTCTTAGAGAGAGGATAGGGTAATTTCTACACTCGCTAAGGTGTGTAACCTTAGTTTTTCAAAGGTGTGTGTCTGAGTGTTTGGTTACTCTCGTAGAGAGGATGAACTATTGGCAACACTCACTAAGACAAGCTATCTTAGTTTTTACACGGATATACCCGAAGTGCTTTGAGAAGAAGAATAGTTGAAGCTTTGAAACTCTTGTATTTCTCGTTTTATTCTTTTTCGTTTTTTCTCTTCTTATTCTTGGTCTTGATACTTATATACTTCTGATAAATTTGCCCGTTGTTTGAATTTGAATTTATCCATTGGAGCGTAATCTTTTGTTGATGCAGATGAAGGCTTCGTTCATGATCATGCAGATCTTCTCATTTAATGTATTTGATCTTTGCATTAAATGTTTGCTTGTATTCGTGGAGCCTCTTTGAGCAGTTGATTTCTTCGATATCTAACTTCAATCATAGTTTAGGTATATTTGTACTTTTCATCAGTTTAGCCGCTGCGGTGCTGTCTCTTCCTGAAAAGTATGTGTCCTTTCTTTGATGCACTCAGCTTTGACTTGGGAAGCATTCTTGAACAATATTTATTTTTATTCACGACTATGTCCTCTTGTGTTTCTTGTATAATTCCTTTCAATGTGATTAGTGGACTTCAAACGTGCTTCAGTATTCACGTCATCGTCTAGTTACTAGATGTTACATCTGATCTTGACGCTTCTTATCGTCTGAGTGTGGAAGTGATAACTTCGTCTTTTATATTGATTCTTCTTGCTGGTCACTTCATGTCGATGTCTTGGACATTGATGTCAATATATTGTCCACTTTACGTCTGATGCCTCAGGCTTCTATTTGATAAACTTTGTATCTGATTTGAGCCTCAATTAACCTTAGCCTTGATGCTGGCTTTTCTATCGTCTGATATTTTGTCTAGCCAGATTGTGGTTGAACATATTCCACTTTTTGAACTTTTCTTTTATTTTAGGACTGAAACACTAATGCACAAGTTAGTAATAACAATATATATTATATTTGTCATATTCAAAACCTTAGCAGGAATTGCAAATTTTGTTTCGTCTAACTTAACAGATTTCTCATCAGGTCCCTTATTTGACCAGATTCAATTATGTTATATAAATCTCAATTATTTCATCTAAGATTATATGAATATATTTTCATTTGTATATTCATATTCTTTCATTTTTAGTTTCTTTTGATTTTATAATGATTTTTTGTATTGTCTTTTATCCATGTAAATAAAAGTAATTATTCTTCTATTTTCATACTACAACAATCTTAATAATCATTTCAGTATTGATATGTTGTCTCTTAATAGAAAAACTTTTGAATGTGACATAAAATTAAGAAGTGATTTTTTTTTTGTATGTGATGATGATATGGTTAATTTAAATCATTGAAATGTGTATTTATTTAGTCCCCAATATAGTTATTTTAAAAGTAAATATATCATTTGGTTCAATTTTAATTTATTAAAATAATTTTATCAAAATTTAATATTAAATAGGTTATCAAAATAATTTGTGTATGGCAGGGATATACCTAGTCTTTATTGAATTATGAAAAAAAAAAAAAGTTTGTTAGTGAAGCTGGTTTTTTTTTTTGATAAACAAAAGAGATTTATTAAAAAGGAGTACAAGGGGTACTCTAACCCATATACAAATACAATAGGCTAAAGAATACTTGTAGCATCTAAAAAACACGGTACCTATTTTACAGCCACAGTAACAGAATATATGACATCTAATAAGCAGTTGCTAAGTGATTTACTGCAGATTTCAAGTGTGTGATCTCCTACCAGTATAATATTGCTCGTAGCTTAGGCACAATCAGCTAAAGAATCTCATCCTACGTACTCAGATGCTCAGAAACTGAGTTTATGTCCAAAAAATTTAGATAGACAGCAGGGGAACCAACCCAAGATGAATAGGGGTACTGGAAAGAAAGGTCCTTAGCCTTAAGCCACTGCCAAGAACGCATTTGAATCAACTCCAATAAGTTAGAATGTAATATGACCTTATCAGAGAAGATAACCTCATTCCTAGCAATCCTAAGAGACCATAAAATAGTCATCCACACAGTTGACCATCTTAACCGATCCACACTAGAGTAAATAGGTAAACCCACAAACTGTGCTAAGTGAAGGTGGCAAGAATTATGGAGCACAGACTTTATACCAAACCAATTTAAACACAACATCCATATGCAATGAGCAAAAGGGCATTCAAAAAATAAATGAGACACTATCTTCAGATCATGGCCGCACCAAATACAGAATCCATCTCTAGCTTGTAGAATCCCTCTTTTAATTAAGTTTTGTTTTGTTGGTAATTTATTAAGCATAGATCGCCAAGCAAAGCCAGACACTTTTGAGGAAGAAACTTGGACCATAGGTAATTATGTAGAGGAAATTCACCAAATATATCCTTATTCACAATGACATTGTAAGCTGACCTCATAGAATACTCACCATCTTTCGAAGCTGACCAGACCCAATGATCATTGACTCCCAGTTGCAGGTGCAAGAAATCAATGTCAGCTTCCAATTGTTGTAATAGTTCGCCTTCCCATTGAAACAGATTTCGCCTCCAGGACCAGTTCCATACTTCGTCCCCATCTACTATTACCCTCATATCAGCAATGGTGGCACTTTTATTAGACACAATAGAGAATAGCCTTTCATATTTGAAAAGAGAAATTAGTTAAGTATATGGAAGATTAATTAATTCAGTAAGAAAAGAAGAGTTGGAAAGAACTTTGAAAGCAAAATGTAAGTTAAATTATTAATTTAACCCAATACTTGAACCAACTTTTTTTTATAAGTTTGTTTGGATAAATTTTTTCAGAAACAATTTATAAGAGAAAAATTAGAGAGTTTTTTTTAAATTAAAATTAATTTATACATAAGTTAATTTGTAAACAAAAAATCTATAATTTTTTCAAAATTTTATTTTTAATCACAGCATAAATTAACTTTAACTTATAAAAAAAATTATTTCAATTATTTTTCTTTAAAGTGTTTCTAGAAAACTTATCTGTACACGCTGTTTACTTTGCCTCTATTTAGGGACTAAAACGTTGAGGTATTTTTTCTTCAATTTTAAGAACTAAAACATAAAAACAAAATTTGTAAAATGATTAATTAAAACAATTTTTTTTTTTAAATATAGAAAGGCCAAAATAAAAAAGTTGACATAAACATCAAACAGTTAAATGTAAGCATGTGACAGATCTAGAATTTTTACATCTAAAAAGGTACATCGGGTTGAAAAGTGATTATCATTCCAAATTGCTAATGACATAATCGATATGAATTTAAGCTCAGGTTTTGCTTATCTGATCCCGCAATTACACTAGTCGTACATAAAAAGAAATATATGATCCTGATACACTGAATTATTTTAAGATACAATCTAGATATTATTAAATATTTTTCCCATATTCTAACATTGCCACGCCATCATGTATAATTTAGAAACTAAAATCATTGTATTTCTAGTTTCCAATCATAACAAAAGAGGGAGTTATTTGATAAACTGGTACATCAAAAAAAGCAAACTAGGAAGACTAACACAATGAGTGACAGCATATTTTACCAAGTACACAGTACATAGCATGTCAATCAACTGAAACATGACAAAACTACTATTAATTAATCTAACTAATGGAGTTTGCACAAAGTGCATTTCAAATGAGGTTGGAGAATTTTAAAAGTTGAAGGCATAGATGATGCTTAGAAGTTAGAACCCATTCCATGGTGAAGCAGGTGGCAGGCTTCCATAGAGGAATGAAACGATCATGGTTAGAGCCCGTGCTGGTTGCCAGCTAGGAACCACATGCCCTGCTCCTCTCACTGTCACAAATGTTATTCCTTTGTATTTCACTACGTATCCTCCAACCTGTAATTATGAGATATTGGTCATGTTTGAAAAATGAAAAATGAAAATATATTATAATTGCTCTGGAAGAAAACTCAATAATTCAGTCTCAAATTATAAATTTGATGTCCCAATTGAATTTCTGATAAAGGTTTTAAATTGTATGTACATGCAAACTTGTAAGACTTTTCATTCACACTTTGGGAACAATATATTTCATTATAATACTTGGTTTTGAAGATAATTATGCATGCACAGTCAACTGTGTTTTATTGTTACTGGAAAAAGTTGTGTTCCAGGCAATACTCAGAAATCTTTTAGCCATATTCTTTATAAGTGAAAGGAAATGTTAAAAAAAGTGGAATAATATGAAATCAAAAGATTAATTTCAGTACCTCATTTCCAGAATACCATGGACGCCAAGGAACCTGGATAGGGAGCTTGAGGGTGTTGATTGCGTATCTTGAAGATGTGACTGGCACCCTTGCATCAGTATCACCACTGTAGAAGAACATGTCTTCTAAATTTAGTAAATTGGATACATGAAACGAAGTTGAAATCCGCTTTACTACAAGAGTGAAATACCTAGTGTGTTTGGTCTATAATTTGAAAACCATTCAACAGACTTTCATACTTTCAATGTACAAAACGTAGAAATAACTCTTTTGTCCCATTAGATCAAAAGTAAGTTACGTTGAAGGTAACATTTTGGCAAACACGGTCTTAGTTCAGTTCGAAAACATCCTTATGGGTAGGTAATGGAGCTTTGTCATTGCAAAAGGATTTCCAAGGAACTTAAAATAGTTAATACTTTTAACAGGCTAATTCAGGGGGCAAAATGAGTAGACAATTATTCAAGGGTACATATGTTATAACAACTTGTCATGGTATTGTTTGATAAAACTTAAGGGAAATTGAACTTACCTGTATATCCACAATCCAATGTTACTGTCGATGAGATACTTGATGACAGGTAGAATGGTAGTAGGGCTGTCGTTCCAGTCCAATAATTCACTGTAAATTTTGTAAAATTTGATATGCTTGGTTAGCAGTTAGCATATAGTAGTGTTTGATTTGAGTTGAGAAGAAGAACTCTGTTTTCATTTCTTGTTTTGACAAATAACTAATGTTTATATATATTTGGTTTCAAAAAATTGTTCGATTTTGTCATTATTTCCTGTTTTAAAATGTTTATATATAGAGAGAGGAGAATTATAATAACATCTTGTAATTTTTACTAAATATTACACCGTTCAATGATTTTATATTAAATGTGAATTTTATAAATTCAACTGTTAAATTGAAAATTTATGTCACTTTATATATTTATATCAAATTTTATTAAAATTGAATAACAACTTAAAGATAATCAAAGTGTTCATATTTTATATATTGAAGTTAAGATAAGATAATCTTTATAAAATAATAAACATTCTTTCAAAGCAAATTGGTTCATAGAATTTTTGTGATGTCCCAAGTTATTGTAGACTACCTGCAGTGGGTCCAGTTTGTGGGTTTTGCATGAAGAGCTAGTTGGACCTCTGGCCTATTAAAATAGGCTTCGCCGTAGTAATCAGAACACGGGTCAAAATCATATACCTGAAATTATGTGTCAGAGAGTATTGAAAATCGCTTGGAAATTTCGCAACACAAGTTGGAAAATATTGGATCCTTAAAACATTTTTATCATACTAGCTGAAACTGATGAACAAGATCTTCCTTTGAGATAACGTCCATGCTGTTGCAAGGTTTCTTTTTCATGCTCACATTGTAAAGTTTTCACATAGCATGTCTCATGAGAATTCAAGGTTGCTTCTAATATGTATAATAAGATGTAAGTTGTGTTCCAACAAGTAATTGAAAGGTAAAAAAACAAAGGGTTAAAACCCTTATTTAGTCCATGATAATATTTTTTTTATTTCAATTTAGTCTTATTTTAATTTTTTGTCTCAATTTAGTCCCCAATAATTTAAATTATTGTAATTTGGGACTTCTGTCCAAATAATTTAAACGGAGTTAATTGTTGGTCACGTGGATGCCACGTGGATGCCACGTAAATGCCTACGTGGACGCCAAATTTTCTGAAAAAAACTAGAACCAGAACGGCATTCTAGATGCACTCTTGGTGTGTTAATTTTGCATTCGGAACGGCCCGTTCCAGGTGCAAAATTAACATACTAAGAGTACAACCAGAACAGGCCGTTCTGATTTCAGAATGGGCCGTTCTGGTTCCAGAATACCAAACACGAATAGTCACTGATTATAGTTTACGGTTGTGATTTGTGAAAGAAAAAAAATCCAAGGTACAAAGCATTTCAAATAATGGACTGGGTAATATTGTCAATGAAAATTGATAACTTCAATTGCTAAACAGTTGGGCTATACAGTGTATCATTAAGGACAATGCAGTGTATTACTAAAGATAATGGTAACAGATTTTATTTCATTGTTGGTCAACTGGAGTAAACCACTTACTACCAAATTGACACTATACAGTCAAGGATGAAACAAAATGATGTTTTCCCTTGAAGTCATTGACGATGTACCCCAACAATAATAACATGTTCTTGAAGACGTACAACCTGAATTTTTGTGGTTTAGGGTTTCCCTTTAGCGCTACCCAGATGATTTCCTTTCTCAGTAATTTCTTTGAAATTTTTTAGTATATGTTATGTTCTGAATTTTTGTTTTCAGTTTCTGATCCATGTTCCTGTCTTTGAATTTATGATATGTTATGAATTTTTATTTTTAATTTTGGAATCACTTTGCGGTATTTTGGTCAATGCATGCATGAATTTGGCTTTTTGGATCGGGCCATTCTGAATCCAGAAAGGGCTGTTCTAAAACCAGAACGGCTCGTTTTGGTTTTAGAACGGTCTGTTCTGATGCTTTCATGGTGGGTGAAATTTGCATTTGGAACGGCCCATTCCGGTTGCAAAATTAACACATGCCATGTGCAATCAGAACAGGTCATTCTAGTTTCAGAACGGGCCGTTCTGGTTCCAGATGTATTTATGTAATTTGGCGTCTACCTATGCATCTACGTGGCCAACAGTTAACTCCGTTTAAATCATTTGGACGGAAGTCCCAAAATGCAATAATTTAAATGATTGGGAACCAAATTGAGACAAAAAATTAAAATGGGACTAAATTGAAATAAAAAAATGTTGTCAGGACCAAATAAGGGTTTTAACCAAAAAGAAAGAGATGCAGAAGAGTCATATTACACATGAGAACAGCACAAGAGGTTTCCATAATCTGTTCATTTTGGTTTTAAATTGGTGTTACTGCTAATATAAATGAACTTTGCATCCTTTTACAAGTTTGAATTATTCTGCCCTTATGTATGAAACCATGCACATTAGTATATAGGAATAGTACTTACAGAACCAGTTGATCCATTTTTGAGAGAAGGGTCGTGACACCGTGGAGCATAGATGTTATAGAAGTCTATTTTTCCTTTCTCAACTAATGCCCTTGTTGTGGCATTGGAACATATTTCCGAAATGGTTTCAGATGTAAAATCGCAGTACTTCTCAATCAACTCGTGGGTTTGATCTGAGTTCAAAGCATGAGTCCATAAGTAATCAAATATTCCCTTTGAACCTGTCGCATCATCAATCCAAGCATTCCCTATCTGAAAATTTCAGTACAAATCAAGAATTTAAGTTAAAAAGATGAGATGGTAAGTGGTATGATACAACAAAGGCATCATTTGCAGTAGTAGTAGTGGTAGAATTTGAACATACAGCAATGCCTTTGAGGTTAATACTTTGGTGACTGAATTTATTGTTCACCAAAATAGTGTATGCAAGCTGAGGCACATAATGGCCAGCATAGCTCTCTCCAGTGATGTAAAAATCATGGGTTTTGTACTGTGGAAACCTCTCTAACCAATTGATGAGGAAAACATAGGAATCTTTAGCAGTTGACTTATCTCCTGCTTTTTCATAATCAGATGTAGTGTTTGAGTAGGAAAAGCCCACTCCAGCAGGGGATTCCAAGAACAGCACATTTGCCACTGCATAATGCACCATTATATGTTAACATATTCATGTCTTTTTGAAGTGCATCATAAAGGTAGAAACTAGAAAATAGTACAATTTTACTGATGATGACTCTCACCTTCATTCCAAGCATATTTGTTAAGATAAAGTGTTTTCCCATCAGAGTTTATTCTAAAAGGTCCCAATTCCTCAAAGGCACCATAACCCAACGAGGAACAACCGGGTCCTGTGAATTTCAAACACTATGATATCAGAATCTTTTAATCAAGTGGTAATCCTTTCTTTCCTACATGAGTGATTTGCCACTCAAAAATGTAGTTTGCATTAAGATGTGAATATGTAAAGTTCAGAAGATGATACTCAAAATCATTTAATCAAGTTTCACCATGCACATTTATACTTTTGGGGAGAATACTATCAACTGATATTTTTGTTTCCTTTCTATGATAATAAAGCACCTTTCTACGAGGACAACAATGAGAGTGGTTAAAGAACATTTTTTATTACATATTTTCTAGTTTTGTTTTAGAAACATGCCTTAATGGGCCTCGTTGGCATTCTCTTAAAAGTAAACAATTTATCACCTCTTATTATCTTGTGTTGTGTGTATTGCTTAAACCATAACAAGGTATACATAAAAAAGAAAAAATAGAAAAGAGACACGAAAAGAGCATAAGCTATAAGCATGAAGCAATTCGAGTTATTTTTTACCTCCATTTAGCCACAATACTAAAGGTTTAGTTGAAGGGTTATATGGAGACTCCACAAAATAATAGAAAAGTTCTCTTCCAGCCACTGGATCAACAGTGACATAACCTGAATATTGATCAAAATTCACTCCATAAGGCTGGCCAGGCAATGTGAGAATCTTGTCAGCTTGGCTCAGCCCCTCTTGTGGTGCAACATAAGCAGAAGAATGAGTTTTCAATGCTTCTTCCTCTGCCCATGAAAGAGTCAGAGGAGGATTCTTTGAGCTCCTAGACAGAATCAACTCATCTAGTTTATCAGCCTGATTGGCTTTGCTGTAGGGAAGAAGAACCAAGAGACTCAATTTGAGTAAACAAGCATAAAGAGAAAGCTTCTTCATCTTGTTCACTACTTGGTTACTTGGTTTCTATATCCTAAGTTCTAAGTGTATTTATAGGCCACATAGAGTAGCAAAAAAAGCAGAAATGTTTTCTTATGTTTTGAAGCCTTTGAAAGAAACAAGAGAAAGATAAAACAAGGGGCATTTGGAAGTAGAGGAATTTTTTTATAAAATGGGATCCTGAGGATTAGAAATCCTAGGAATGATGATTCTTAAATGTTTGGATATTCATAAAAAAAATTTCAGAAATATTCATACATGATTGTTGGGAGTTAAAAATTTTAATATTTAATTACAATAGTATATTTTTGGGATTGTAAATATTTGTTTACAAAAATATTCTTTATTAAAATAAACTTATTATATATATTTATTTACTTAAATCTTATTACAAATATGGTATTAGGTTATTTTAAAAATTTGAAAAATTATTAAAATTATTTAAATATAGAATTCAACAAAAAAAAACAAAAATAAAAAAGGAAATGTTACATTATAATTAAGAAAAATATTTTTTTAAATAAAAAAATAAAAAAAAATATTAACAAATATTATTAAAATATAGAAATAAAATAGATTTTAATTATCTTATTAAAATTAACAAGATCAAAAAATAATGAGATAAGAGAGAGAAATAAAGATATGGGAGGGGGGGAGAGAGAGAGGAAGAGAGAGGGAGTGAGAGTGAGAGAGACATAGAGGGAGGAAGAGTAATAGAAATAGAAGGAGAGAGAGAAGAGAGGGAGAGAGGAAGAGACAAAGAGAGAGGAAGTGAGAGTGAGAGAAACAGTGAGTGAGAAAGAGAAATAGGAGAGAGAGAGGGAGAGGCAGAGAGGAAGAGAAAGGGGGAGTGAGAGTGAGAGAGAAAGAGAGGGAGATTTTTTGTTTTTAAAAATGGATACTCTAATTTTTTATATGCATAAAACTTTTCTACTAACTCAAAAATTGGATTCACAGAAATGTTTTTGTAAAAAAGTAGGATAAAAATGGTTCTTGAAAAATTACATTTGTGAGATTTTTTTAAATAGTTATCAAACATGAAAAACTAAAATTTCCATTTTAAGAATTTAAAGAATGTACAAATATTTGGCATACCAAATACCTCCTATAAGTTTTGGTCCTTGAATTCAGAAAATATTATTATATTAATCTCTTAAAAAATAAATTTGTGAAGTAGTTTTTGAAAATATAAATAAACAATTACATTAGTCTAAATCCAAAATAATGTGCGACTAAAATAATAATATTAATATTGATGGATAATGTGTGCCTAAAATAATAATATTGATGGATATTTAAGGAATAAAGTAATAGTAAATTTTACATTTTTAAGACTCGTTTACTATTTTTTTTATTTTTATTTCAAGAACTAAGATGACCACATCTTTCAAATTCAAAATCATAAAACTACTCTTGACTGTGAATAGAAAAGCCGGCTAGTTTATTTAGTTTTTCATTTAAAATGAGTCGGCCTACTCCTGTTTGCTATTTTCAGTATCATATGAAGTTGTTTATTAATTAAACACTTCGTAATTAACTTAGAAAGCTTTTGAGAGATTTGTCCCTTTAACTTTTCCTTACGAGTGATGTAGTTGTATTTTATCTTCAACCTACATCATATATATCATAATCCTAAGCCTGTTGTTTCATGTCTTCTTCCTTAGTTGTGCACATCTATGAAGCATGACAAGGAAGTTGTCCAAAACAAAGCTCGTTGGGCCCCGCATATATATTAAGAGTCATTATTTTACGATATGATTTATAACTCTTCATAAAATAATATCAAAATAAGAAGATGAATATTGGCGTTTTTCGATAAATATATTATTCAACTTCTCTGAACATCTTAAGTTTTATTTTCTTCTCTATGTGTTAGTACCGAAAAATGAATTCGGAGGGACTCGAAATATAGAGGTGCTCAAAATCCTAGGTGATCGGAAAATGTCAAAGAAGTTTCTGAAGAAGGCATACGAAGCCTGAATAGAATCAAGAGATACACGAAGACACTTTTCGTGAAACTCTCGAAATCATTGAACTAGGAAGGACACGAAGACACTTTTCGTGAAACTCTCGAAATTATTGAACTAGGAAGGACACGAAGACACTTTTCGTAAAACTCTCGAAATCATTGAACTAGGAAGGACACGAAGACACTTTTCGTGAAACTCTCGAAATCATTGAACTAGGAAGGACACGAAGACACTTTTCGTGAAACTCTCGAAATCATTGAACTAGGAAGGACGCTGCTCAGGAGAAAGGCTC